TAGAACTAGACAATTGCTTCCTCAAATACTGAAAGCTAAAGGCTTCCTAATTAGCTTTTTGTGCAGTACCTGTGTGGCCTAATTTTTTTTTTAAGAATACGAAATCTTTTTTAATCCTAACTACATGTAGCCTTCCTCCTCCCTCTTCAGTGTCAATACCTCCTAATTTCTCTATTCTCTTGACTAATTCTTTTAGAGCAATGATTGATTAATAACCATGAACTCAGCAAGACACAAGTGATAACCAAATCAAAGTAAAAGTATTTATGTGCATAGGAAAAAAAACTGTTAAGTCTGTCAACTCTGAGTGCGTGCCAGCTCACTTCCTAGCTTCCTTCCCTTCGACTCTGAAGACAGAAGCTGCAAAGCTGAGCCACCTGTCTATATAGATTTGTCGGATTTCCTTCTGCATGGTAACCTTCTTTCAGCAGGTGCTTGGGGTTGAGTGGGACTGGGCCTTGTATCTTCTCCCAGTTCACATTTCTAGGTGCCACATCAGAATGGAAAGACTATCCCAGTGTGTCCAAGTCTGGGAAGAGAACACAGCATTCATTACATTAGCTGGGACTCCTTGGCCCCATCCTATTCCCACAGACCCTGTCCCTAGACAGAAAGGTGCTAAATCTCACACCACCCTCCCATTCAGAATTTAGGTACTCCTAGTTCCTTTAGATAAACTTTGTGGTTTCATATCCCTTAAAGAAATATAAGAAAAAGTATATGCTTCCTTTCCCACCTTTAGGTTAATTCCTTAAGTTTTGGGTCAGATTTAGATAATTAGAAAGGATGTAACTGCTCACATCTTGTAGTTTTCATCTCATTTTGTGTATGTTTTTTGTCAAAACTGGCATCACAAAATTATTAAATTTACAGACGAGATTTACTATATAATCTAATTGGCAGATCATTTTCTTATACCCAAACTAGCCAGCCAAATCACACTCACTTTCTGTTAGATCTGATTTTATTTATATTCAATTCAAATAAACATACTAATACTTTATGACAGTTGACTTCTGAGTTTAGATTTTAGTGAAACATATAGATAAGCATATTACCTTGTGTAGATGAAATAGAGAATAATGTCTTACTATTTCTCACCCTGCTTTCATGGGATCTCTTTAAAGTCTTTGCATATACAATGCAGTATGAAGAAAAGTGTGCATATCTTTTCTGAAGTGGGAGTGAGAAGATTTTGAAAGTGGACCTGGCTACAAAACTTATACCCCATGTTCTTTAGGTGATCACTTTTAGGGAAGAAGATATGTAGAAATTAAAGACTTGTAAATTGTTCTCCTTAAGATTACCCATGTCCAAGTCATCCTGGAAAGTCATTACATACAACCAGGGAATGTGTACTACAGCTTTGAGACTACTATTTCTAAATACAGTGTCTTCAATCCAGATCAGTCAGTGAGTAGAAGCCTCCTGACTAATCCACAGTACTCAGTTCCCTGCTATTACCAGCCTTGACAAGGGAAAATTTTTCTAGAAACCTCCTTAGAATGGTCAGAACCGTGAAACTTTCTATCCAATCCCTGTATCTCCTTAGCTTGGAAGTTTTCATTCAATAAAAAGATAAGGGCTAGGGAGTTGGTTCAATGCATGGGGACCAGCAAATGCATGGGGACCTAAATTTAGAAACTCAGAGCTCACATTAAAAACTGCATGTTGTCATTTCATGTCTATCGCCCGAGTACTAGGGGAAGAGTGGTGACAGGCAGATGCCACAGACTTGCTGACATTTATTCTAGTTCAAATGGTAAGCTTTGGGTTCAGTGTAAGACAGTCTCAAAAAAAAAAAAGTGAAGATTTATAGAGGTAGACACCCAACATCAACCTCTGGCCTCCATATGATCACACAGAGACATACACACACACCCCACATACACATTTAAAAAAAAAAAAAACCGTTTCATCTCAGATATCTGAAGGAAATTGAGATAGCATATTTAATCTAGAATATAATAGTTTCAGATGCCAAAACAAAGGTGTTGAGGGAAGGTAAGAAGAAGACAAATTTGATTTTTGATTTTTAAAAGGAAGGGTCCAACTCCTTGTATCATGTGTATCTAAATCTCTGACTATAACACTGTAAGATATAGTCGCTGTAAGATATAGCACTGCCATGAGGAAGTTGAGATTTCAACCTTCTCAGTCTCATGACCTCAGGGTCATTATATAATGCTGCCCCCTCCTTAAGGACCTCAGTAGAATGGATAGCATGGCTGTCTGCCTAATCCCCTCTTTCACTAGAAATTGATATTCAACAGACACCTTCTGCAACAGACACCTTCTGCAATCCCCAGTCCAGTTGTAGATCCCTATGTAACAAGTAGGTGTTTCTGCAGAAGCAGATAGGTACCGAAGAGGAAAACTGTGCTGCTTCACTTGGAGAAGATGGAGATTTTAAGGCATTTCAGATAAGATTGTATGAACATATGCTAGCTCATGTAATAAATGAGAGCAGAATGGAGAGGAGAGGAGATGCCTGTCACAGATGGAAGTTGTGGGTAACCCACCAGAAGAGACCATATACCAGCTGGGGTAGCCTGTGCTACACATTTCATTAAGATCTTTTTTGAATTACCATGATAAATAGGTTGTACTATGAAAATATGCTTTCTTTTTTCTTTAAAGACAAAACAAAACAAGCTGTCGCCCCAGCCCCCATCACACCAAAGCTGTGACATCTGTGTGGGTGACTACTGTGCCCTTCTTTCTTATTCTAGTCCTGACATCCAGCCAAATACACATTAGACATTCAATAAATATTTAGCAATTGAGGAAATCAATAAATAATATGTCAGAGTCACAGGGTCTCATGCTCTAAACAGTGAGATAATTTTATCTTTCAGGCCCCAGAACAGATCTCTCTTAGGGAAATGAGAATAGGTTTTGTCAGTCAATACCTCTGACCTTTTCCCTGAGCTACTCCAAGTTTTATATAGTTTTATAGTAAAATGCCTGAACACATGCCTTTAATTCCAGTACTCAGGAGACAGAGGCAGGAGGACCTCTGAGTTCAAGGCCAGCCTGGTCTACATAGTTCCAGGACAGCCAGGGCTACACAAAGAAACCCTGTCACAAACTGCCTCCCCCTCTTGGGGGGAAAAAAACTGGAAAAGAAATTGTGTATGATTTGATATTCTCAGTTTGGGGTTGGAGTTGCTGACCTCTTTGAGACTATGATGAAAATCATGGCCTTTCTCAAACAAAGGGACACACAGACAAAACTGTGAATATAATTTTAGTAGGTTCATGAACACTTTATCTCAAGAATGCTAAAAAGTGAACTGCAGCTTAAGGAAAGGGTACAGTCACCATCAGTCCTCTTCTATTAGAAGTAAGACTGACAGAAACAAAAAGAGCTTGCTCTGAATAGAATACCGAGGGGAGAATATGGGGCCAGTTTGAACTGTGCTTTGATTCTGGCTACAATCAACTCATAAAAGACACTTTGTTCCCTTTGGGACAGATGCCACCAAATAAAATACTGCTCTAATGGCAGTCCTCTCCTCTGGTCAGCCCTGCCTACATGCATCCTTTATCCCATGACTGGACAACCAATAGGAAAAAAGGAGGGCAGAATTCTGAATGTGACACATTACTGAATTGGCTTTTCTGGCTTTTAGAGTGTATACTCCTTAATCTGTAGGCCTGTGTCCTAGGTGTTTGTACCTTGGAAGTACTAGAACCTCACTGCTAGTTTATTTTATCTTGACTGTTTCCCCAGATAGAAACAAAGAGCACAGATTTATGTAGACGAAGATAATCCTTTCTGAGAACTTTTCTAGGTCATAGCTGGGAGCTAATACACTACAAACCATTTCTGTCTCTACCAGCTTGAAATGTTAGCCTTCCAGCCAAAATTAAACCTTGATCTCAAAGAACTCTAGGTTCTTAAGTCTCAAAGAGCTCACTTTCTTCATCTGGGCAGTGAGAAAATAATAATTCCAATATCCTGGGATTGGAGGGAGGAGTGATAGAAGGATTAGGTAAACAACCAAGTTCCAGGTCATGGTATTTCTGTGTTCAGGTCCAGTAAGCAGGAGGGAGATCAAATTGGTTCTTGTCCGTGTTTGAGTCGGTGACCTCTAGAAGTGGCTGAGGAGTGCCTGGGCAGGTTTGCTGCTTTTGCCTTTCTGTAAGTGTGCTCAGACCTGCTGCCTTACTTTCCCGGGACCAGTGATGCCGAACTCGGAGCATCGGAAGTAGTAGCTCTGTCCTTGTGTGTGGGCACTGAAACACTGACACTGGAATCCTCTGGGTACATGAGTACTGTCTGTGGCTATTCTTTTCAACCCTGTCTGTTCCCCCCACCCTTTCTTTCTGTTGTTTTTGGAAGTCAGTGTTTGTTGAGCACCTCTATGTGTTTATTGTACAAGTTCTAGATGTGTAGACATTGGTAAAATAGTATTAATGCTACCCTTATATACTTCAGTAGAAGGGGAATGAGAATAAATACAGAACTATGGAATGTGTTAAGGGCAAGGAAGGTACACAGAGAATGATCCAGTGTCCTGATGAGGTAGAGTACTTCCTGGAGACTGACTCTGCTGCATGGGTGAGACATTGGCTCTACCCAGTGCAGAGTGCCAGTAGTTGCTGCTGCTTGTTTTTCTGACCTAATAATAGGTGGCCTAACACCTAGAGGAACTCAAACTCCTGGTGTCTACCAGCAGTTTATTTTGCTCATTAAAATTCTAAGTCTGATGAGGCCTCCTGCTCCTTTACTTACTCACTGTATACTGGGTACCGTGTATTTTACATGTGTTCTTATTTGATCCGTTCACCACCCAGAATGGTAAGTTTTTAATTTTTATGATCACTGTAATTAAATTTAGATTCAGAAATCAAAGAAACTGAGGCACTTGCCTGTGTCCCTACTGCACAATCATGGTAGTTAGGAGTAGCACGAGATTGTCAACCTGTATATTGTGTTGCCTCCCTTGCTGTGATTGATATTGAACTCACCTGCTTTTCCTTTTTTTTTGTAGTGGTGCCAGTGAAGAAGAGGACACATGAAGACTTACCATTCCCCGTGGAAAACACCCCTTCCCCGTGTGTATGTGACAGCGTGTATGTAATGGCTTCTGATATCTGTGAAAGCTGCCTGGCAACAAACTTCTTCCACTGGATATGTCCCCAGATCCACAGCAGGCACACATGTCTCCAAGGGACAACAAGTTTTATGCATACTGAGTGTGTGCTTCTTGTTCTCTTGTGGTAGGTCACAGGAAGAGCCCCTTTGATCAACTTGGAGGGCTCTTCAGGCAACTCCCCAAAGGCTGCTTTGAACTTACTCAGGAAAGCCAGCCCCTGGAATATTGTGCAAGTCAACAGTATCACTTCCTTAGGAAGGTTCTAGAATATCTTGAAAGGAAATCAGTTTTTTCCTTACCTGCAAACAGAAAACCCACTTTGTTCGTACTGAAGCCTAAAGCAAGTATGGCCATACTGACTCATCCGACAGTCTCTCGTAGTCCATTTCTGCCTTTGTGGAAGGCGTTAGGACAGCTGGGTGGAAAATGGGATTGAAGAAATAGTCCAGAGCTGGAAAGAAGATATTTTTAGTACTTGAGGTTATCTGGGACTTGAGATTCATAATTCAGTGCTGTGGAAATGGAAAAAGTGATTGAAGAGATAGAAAGGAAATGACTTTAAGGAGTGTGGAGGGGGAGGAGTAAAGAAATCTGATCGAAAGTTGAAATCAGTGTTTCAGAATTCAGATTGCCCAAATTTTCCAAAATGGTCACTAAAGTGTCTGATAAAACCTGAAATCTTGGGCTAACTGTATGGATTAATCGGCCTGTCACAACATAAAAGACTGGCATGTATATCGCCAAGTGGGAATTGTCACTGTAAAATGTACCAGTTCCACCCCCAGGTTAGCCTAAAGTGGCTTCAGTGCTCTGTGAGAAGAATCCTTGCCACTCGCTGGCTGGCTGGATTCATGTCCATCTGCCAGCAAACATTCCCTCTATTTGCTACAGTTGGAATCCTCCCTCCCCCTACAACAGGCCTTCAGTTCACCTCCCATACTCCAGCTCTCCTCTCCGATAGAGTATGAGCAGGCATGCCCCAGAGCTGGATTTCCTGGCCTTCTCCCATTCTCAGATCACAGTTCCTTACAACCACACTTTTCAGGGTCAAGGAAGCAGTGGTGTGCTGGAAGATACCCAACTGCAAGCTCACACACACCACTTCTTGTTGAGACATGAGTTTTTCTTACCAAATGATTTGAAGTCGAGGAGAACCTTATTTTTAATAGAACAAACAGGTTAGAGAAGAGAATGTTCATACACTTCAACTGTTAAGAGAAGATAGGAGACTTGGAAGGTGACTCTTGTTTGCAAGTGGGCAGTGTATTCCCTCTCCTCTGCTTGTGTGGTATTTCTATGTTCCCATTGAGATTCTGTCTGAACTGGATTCAAGCAGCCTTGGGGTTGCTGTTGACCAAGGTCTGTTTCCAGTGTCTCTGAGGCAGATCCAAGGAGTCTGCCTTGGGGGAAATCCCCCTTTCCTTGCCTGTCTGCTTGCCTGCCTATAACCTGTGTACTTACCACAAAGCTTTAGGGGCAGCTGATGTGTGTGTGTGTACAGGATAGTTCTGAGGCAGAAACAACATGTGCTTACTGTAGGAGTCCTATTTATATCATTGTTCAATCCTGTGCATGCTAGAAAATTTATTCCTTTGAGGACAGGAAACTGCCAAGCCTATATGCTCTAGGTTAGGATTACCCTAGCTCACTACACATATAAGGATATTAGGGCAGAGATGGTTGAAGATCTCATTCCCAAACTGGTGACTAGTAGGTGGCTTAGACAGTTTTGATGCTTTACCATCTGTCTGCAAAGACTGGAGAATTTAATGCACCCTGAGTTAATAACCTCCAATGATATCCTGTTTAAAAAAAATCTAAAAGAAGGATCAAAAACACTCTAAAACAAATGTGGAAAATCCGAAAATTGAAAAGGCTTCAGAATTTGGAAGCTTGTGTTGTCTTTCCCCAGTAATCATTGTTTGATCTATATATGTTGACCTTGTATTACCAATGGACAGATCATTGGCTTTCCATACCTAATCATGCTATTACTTTATATCAGTATTTTGGGAATCCAAGCATTTATGTAGTGGTTATAAACAGAAATATAAAAATATTTGCCAACCTGTCTCTCTAAATTATCTGTCCGGAATCCTCAAGGAAAGCATTTCCCCTTTATTTTGAACAAGTTTTGGATTTGCTTTCTGGGCTCCTGCTGTCTCCAGCACCTGGTGAAACTTTAACCAGGAAAGCATCAAACAGCAGCTTCTGCCCAGGTCCCAAAGTACCTGTGGCTGCATTTGTCAGTGTGAGATGTAGGATGCCTTCTGCAGTGGCGCCAGCTTCGTTCTCTGAGCTAGGCCCTGTTGCTTGGCCTTGTGCCCCATCATGAGGAAGCTTCCTGCCTTCCAGGTCAGTGTGAGTTAGAGTTGTGTGTCCTGACTGACTGTGGACAGCAGAGTTTACCCAGATCCCTGGGGAGATATCATCACGTGATTCAGGTAAAGAACATCTCCAGAAATGAGTTGGGTACCCACAGGAAGTACTGGCAGCCTCTGAGTACTTAGAGGGATTTGATCTTTGATTTGGACAGTTCTAAGAAGTGTTTAACTTCTCAGCTGGACAACCAGGACAAGAAAGTACCCGAGGACAGGCTGTGAGCCAGGCTCTCTGTAGATGTACCCAGGGCAAGCCACATGTCTGTCGTTAATAGGAAACACAGGAACCAGTTTTAAACATGGTTCTCCCTGCTCTGCAGTCAGCCCTCTGCCCCATACCACGACTCACCTACAGATTCAGAGAGAGGAAGAGGCTTTCAGTTCCCCAGTGCAATATGCTCATTCACATTGTAAACTATTTTTCAGAGACATCAAGATGGCCTTATTCCTCTGCTTTAGTAGATGTTTTAAATACTCATTGTTAACTTAAGGAGATTTCCCCCTTCCAGGAGATGGGGAGCCTTTTCTTTTCAGTGCCATCCCCACAAAAGAAAAAAAGGTGGTATTCAGCCCTCAAGAGTGTGAAGGTGACAGCAGTCTTCAATATCTCCTGCTTCATTGCTATAGAAAAGCAAATCTTCATATTTTAGTAAACCCTGCTACCGTGTTCTGTACTCTGTGAGAAGGTGCCAATTCAAATCACTGACTTTGGACTCTTTTCCTGGTGTGTGTGTGTGTGTGTGTGTGTGTGTGTGTGTGTGTGTGTGTGTAAGTAAATGGGAGTGAGATTTATATACACGTGCACATACCATACTGCTTAATTATTTTAGAGTTAAATGAGAAAGACTCACAACTGCCCCTGCTGATCTTATATACCACCACAAAGGTTTCTTCTAAGTCCATACAATGTCAGCAGATAATTGGAGTGTGAGTGCTGGCTTTCCAGAATAGCCCCTAGTGGTAGGTGTCAACTTTTAAAGCACTGATCCAGGGTGACAGCCAGGAAGGAAATTGCACCCCACCCATTTCCACCATGTCTAATAACATGGGAAATTTAGATGCCTTGTCATTTTGGTGACTTGGATCATTTTGGTCATTCCATTTGGGCCTGAGTGTACAGCTTATAACCTTGTAGTAGTCAGAGGTCTAGGAAGTCCTGTCTCCCCACAGAGAAAATGTCCTGCTGATTCCTGACATTCTACTCTCATGTAATAGCTTTTCAGTAAATCGGTTGTATGTTTACTGTGGGCTGAGCACATTTAGAATTTTGTTTGCTTGTTTTTTAAAGACAAAAATCCCATTATAAATCAAGTCCAGCCTTGCCCTAAGGGAATAGGCCCAGAGGGAGATTGCAGATCTCACTGACACTGCCTTCACCCCAGCAGTATTTCTGAGGCCCCCACCCTATGGAATTCCAGGAGCCACAGGAGCTGGGTAGTATCCAGGAAAACAGGAGATCATTTTGATCATTTGGTCTCACATTACCATGTGAGGCTGAGAACACACCAGAAACACCAGAACTAGGGGCCAGAGCAGGAAAGTGAAAATAAATGAAGACATTTGGAGGCGCACTGATGGAGAAACAGCTAGAGTCCATGCTAGACTTGATGTGACTTTGAGGGGACCATTGATGTATCCTTTATGGAAGTTAAACCTGACCAGTCTTTTTACAGTGACAAGCCACAACGCGTGAGTGGGTAGAGCCAACGAATCCATTGTCTTCTGCCTGTTTTCGTGTACACAGTCACATTCCCTCCTTAGTCATCGTCCCCTGCCACCCTTTCCACTAAACAAGGGAACACTCAATCTTTCAAGGGAATTGCATATCTGAGTTAATGTTTCAGTATATCATTTTCATACTGTAAATTATTTTGTAAGAGAGATTTACTGCTATCCCAGGATGTTCAGACTTGGCGCCCCTGTGCATTTGGAAATCAATAAACTATTACTGGAAATACCATTTGTCTCCCAGAGTTGTGCACAAAAGACCCTGCTAGGTGTAAATATTCATGATGATCTGCATACTTAGCTGGGGCAATGCTAGAGATGACTGTGTTTGTGTTATTAGCTTTGGGGACCTAATTTACTCCTGACTTCCTAAAGTGCCTTAGGAGACCTCTGGATGGTGGCAAAGGGTAGACGTTAGTATTTAGAACCAAGCCAAGTGAACAATGGCTAGATTAGATTAGATTTGATCCTGGAGTAGGTTATAAGGTAAGCAATATTCACTCCTGTGGTCTTTTCAAATACCACTTACAGCTTTGCAAATTTGATTAACTAGAAGGAAGATCAAAATTCAGTTTTTGACAAATGTTTAAAAGTAAAAACCAGCCTTGAACAAATTATAGTTAAGCTATGAGAGCCATCTCTATGGAACTTTAAAGGTACCTATTTGAATATAATTGATGAGCAAATGAAGTGGTAAATAAGCTCATTTCAGTCTGACTTCAGCAGTTGTCTTGACACCTGGAGTCATGTACTCCAGCCTTCATTAGCCAGTATGAAGATCAGAGATGCTACAACTATGCAGATCTGAAAAGGCAAACCTTCCCAAAGCATAAAACTTAATGTTTCAAAATCCTAAAAGCCACCTCACGTATGTTCGTCAACCCTGCTATAATTTCCTTCTATCAAATATGTCTTTATTAACTCTACATGTTACGGGAACTTTGGGGAAAAGATTTTCTGATTAATCGTTTCTTAATTTAACTTACATGTAGCCTCGTTTCCTTTAGACTCATAAAAAAAGTGAATTGCATCTTGTCTGGAGTATCTCCTGGTCTTCACAAGGTCACCCAATAAGCCAATCTGAGGTCCAGCCCCAGGACAGAAGACTGTCTGTCTCGTGGAGCGACCACTGTGTCCCACTTCCTCCCCAGCTGCTGGGGGTTGAGTGGGCATTGCCAGGCGCTGTAGCACTTGACAGTCTCCAGCATTACAAACCACAGTGTACTGGAAGGTCTTCATCCCTGCTTCCTGGTGCCAGTACCTCAATTCTGCATCCTGTTGTCCCAGTCCTTCTCATTTTATTATCTTTCCTTTATACAGCTCCTTTTTTTAATCGATTGTTTCTTGATTCCACTTACATGTAGCCTCATTTCCTTTAGACTCATAAAAAAGTGAAATTGCACCTTGTCTGGAATATCTCCTGGCCTTCACAAGGTGCCAGAGTGAGATATGCTCAACAGAAAATCAGGCTCCCAGCCTTTCAATAAGAGAACGATGTTACAGCAAACAAATGAGAAACAAGACTGTTTGCAGTCACTCAGTGGCTGCACTGAGTGTCTATTTGTTAAATATTGCGATTTCCAGTGTTAAAACATTTATTTTTGTTAACAGTAATAGCTACCATTTAGTGAGCTCTTTGTCTGGGCCAGGCACTCTCCTCCTTGCTTTTCACATTGCCTTATTTAATTCTCAAAGCACTAATACTATTGTCTCTTATTTTATTGCTCAGAGATCATATTTAGAGACTTAAGTACTATAGCCAAGGTATATTTTAATAAGCAGAGAGCCAGGATTTAAATAGCTGGGCTGTCAGACTATGGTATCCCCTCTTCACTCCTAACTATACTGACTCCACCTGGTATTGATAAATAACATCATGTTACCCCTGGCACTCCCTCCACACAGTTCAGCCTTGGGTAAATAAATTAGGCCTTTGCTAGCCCTTGCTTTGTACAACCTGGAAAAAAACACAGTGAAGGAAGGACTAAAGACAGCTTTGCAATCCTCTTCTGACCCAGAGCTGCACTTTAGGAAGGAGAGAACTGTTAGTCTTGCTTTGCCTCCTTCATTTTAAGGCCATAAGTAATAGAATCACCAGGAGACAACATCAGTGCTGTCTTGACTGCAGACTTAGAATCTCCAATGTCAGCCAGCTCTGACACAGAGCCTATAGGTTGATTAAGCATTATGAAGATGTCTCCAGCAGCTTGATGTGGTCCTGCTTCCTATTCTTGGAAATGGGTGGCAAAAGAAGCTATCTGTTTTACAGTTCTGTGTCTGAGATGGCCACAGTATGCCATTCACCATATAAAAATGGATCACAATCTTCATGCTGTTTGAGGTTTCAGTTGCTACCCATTCATCTAGGTTCAGCCATCTGATAACTTCATTTATTTGTGGTTCCTGAACATGAAATCCAAACAAATGGCTTGAGAATGAGTAATTGAAACAACTAGGAAACACTAGCAGAAGTGCAACCCACTGAAAAATGATTGAAAACTAAGAAGCAAGCAGCCAAGCCTTCTACCTAGTGGAAATAAATACCAGAAAGCAAACGTCCAAGAGAGGCCATACATCCAAACATGGGGCACCGGCCCAGAACCTCTGTTCTCCTCCAACAATTGTAAATATTTGATTAGTTTCCAAGTCTACAGAAGATTGAATTTAAGGACAGAGAAGACTTCCAGAGAAACCAAATTCAAGGAAGGGAGTGACAATGTCAAGTGGACCGGGGTGGGGGAGGGGTTGCCAAACCTCATTTTATAGAGGACACTTGTATCAAAGGAGTCTCACTGTCCTATTCAGAATAATGACTAAGCTTACACTCACACACACACACACACACACACACACACACACACACACAAGATGCTCAAAAGCGAGTATTTGTACAGTAAATACTTTTAAATGCTTATAACAGATGGTAGAAAGAGAAAGAAAAACCTCCTTGGGCTTAAAAGGAATAAATGTTTGACAATCCAGAACATTTAACTAAACAAAATGTACATCCACTTAACTGAGGGTTCATTGTCCCGTGAGCCTCTTGTGTTCAGAGAGGTTTTTTTCTTCTGGCTTTATAAGTGACTTTCATGCTACAGTGCTTTGCATATAATGGCATGAACAGTAGATATGCCAAGTTTTCAATGTGATGAATAAAACTAATAACCAGAATACAGGTCAAATTCTGCAACAACAAATATTGCTATTATAAAAGTCACTTAGGCATCCCAAAGCCCCTGTCGATTGCCCATTTATTTTAGGCAATAGTCATTACAACAAAACCAGAAGTACAATAAAAAAAAAAGCTAGACCCTCTCTGCAAATTGAGTGTAACACAATTTAACCTGTAATAACAGATTCTCACTTCTACTTCTCCAACTCTGTGCTGCAAGAAGAATAAACATTAATGTCAATACACTACGGCCTGGAAAACCGGTGGTGAGTTGTTCTAGGAAAAGAAAGAATTCAAAAGCAAGGTGAACATGGAGCTGGATACCATTCCCTCCCTGGAGAACTTCTATGTTGGAGCCATCAACCAAAGGGTAACTGACTTCTGATCCCGATGGAGTATATATACTTAGCCCTGGAATGAAGATTCAGTTCATTTCTCATGGACCTTTAAGGACTTTGGAGTAACCTGTTCCTGATCTAATGACCCAAAGATTTTTTTAAAAATCCAGGAGCGTTCAAGTGAAACTGTCTTTCTATCCAATGAATACCACATGGTTATAAAAGCACAGGCTGCACTGATTGTGTGTAGAAATGGTGTTTTAATCAGTTTCATTCCATTTGGTGCACAGACAAGGATTTTTCTATAGCTTTTTGCTGTGGTTATGATCAGAGTTTTGTCTCTTACTGTAATATTATCAATCAACCATCTTCCTTTCTTTTACTTAAATGGTTTTCATTATTTCTTTGCAACCAACATTTTGTATACCTTTAGCAGAAAAGATTAAATCATAATTCACTTTAGAACCATACAGTCAGCAATAGGAAAGGAGAGAGGTGGAAATTGTCCACATTTTCCCAATGAAACTATCTGGCCCAGGTCCCAGATTCATATCATACTCCAAAGAAGTCCATTAATTCTGGGCACCACTCAGCTTGCAGAGGTGGTGTCTTCTGACCTCAGGGTAAGATGGGTCTGCAGGCATGCCACTGCAGGAAATCTCTGCTTGCTTGCCTCTCTAAACCAGGACACTTGAAAGCACTCCTGTGCCCCAGGCCAGGAAAGCAGCTTCAAAAGAGGCTGACTGCTCTGCTTGGTCTGAGAACATTGAGTCCAAGGCTGTAGCTATTGGCTACCTGCTATTTTATTTCAACATCTGGAGGTAAAGGGTGTTAACTGAAAGGAACTTTTTTTATTAATTTTTCCCACAACCCCATTAAAAGACCTTTTGGGCCCAGGGAGAGGCTGTATCCTAGAATTAAAATCAACCTATTCGAAGAGGCCAGAGCACAGTAGGAGAGCACACTTAAGAAGTGGTCGTGGTGGTGGCAGTATCAGGAGGGTGGGTTTGGGTAGAGATAAGCCACTGGTAGCAGTAGAAGTGGACATTTTCGTCTGGCAGCATATTGTAAGCTACAGTCACCTATTGGGATACAAAAGACCAAAACAAATTCCTCTCAACTGTATTTTGGTCCTCATTACCTAAGCTCTCTGTATCCCCTGCCCGTACAGCCTCTAGTTCCTCTATTTCACTCTCTTTCTATGAGATTCACATCTTTAGTTTCTACCTATGAGTGAGAAGACAGTATTTGTCTTTTTGTGTCAGATGTATTTCATTTTATATCATGTCTTCCATTCATGACAGGATGAGAGCGGATGACTCTGAGGTCATGCCCAGGCTGGGCTTACATAAGCAAGACTCTGCCTCCAAAACAACAAAAACAAAAGAGGGAAAAAAATGGGGAAAAAAAATGTTATTTTCTCAACACTTAAACCAATTCTATTTGTTAACAGGTAAATTAGAACCCATTTACCCTGGTAGATCGGTCCTATCTGATCCAAGAAAAGCATTCCCATTGAAATCATACCTAACCCACATTTGTCAAAACTATATTTTGTTGCTAGAGTTTTTCTCTCCGGGTCCCGCCAAGCCCCGGCAGTCCTGTAGCCCACTTATAAAATAAACATGCAGACACTTGTTTTATTTAAACTGCTCGGCCATTAGCTCAGGCTTACCACTAACTAGCTCTTACTTTTATACTCAGCCCATTTCTGTTAATC